CGAGTACATATTAACATTATTTTTATGAGTTTCTAATGATTAATAATTCGACAATTTTCTTGATTTTGATCATTTTATTAAAATTTTAACTTCAGACGCTCTTGACAAATTATTGTGGATTCAAGCTCAATTTTTTTTTAAATTTCCACTAACAACAACTTACGAGGAACCTTGTATTACATTTTAAAGTGGTGTATCTATAGAAAACTCGGATTTAAACCTTCCCTAAAAATTGCATGTATTCACTGTACTTTTTTATAGATTTATATCAAAAACCAAAATCAATTTTGTCGAAAACCATGTTTTTGTGAAAATTCCGGTTTTCCTTAATTTTTTGTTTTTTTGTTCCTGAAGCTTTCGAAAAATTGTATGAAGGTTAATGTTAGGTTTATTTTTTACTTTTGACCCCCAAAAGGGCTAACTAGATTTCCTATCAGAAAAGTTGCTGTTGAAGAAAATAAAAACATTTGTACTGCCTCAAAACGTGATGACAGATACAAGAAAAATATAAAAAATATAAAAAAAATAAAAAGCACACGTTTATGTAAAATCAATACATTCATCGCTCTACTCAGAATGTCAAAAGAAAGTAACGAACCAATCATTACTATCTCGAGCAACTATCTAACATATAATAGTATTACCTTCTATTCTAATCAATCCGTTACTTTATTATTATTTCCTTGCTTCGCTTAACACTTAAATTTGCAGTTAGGCCCTTAAAATAATGTGAATATATGTTACTATGACTCAAAGTATGTGCAAGATCAAAATAAATAACTATATACTACTTAACATAAATACAGATAAAACCTATACGCCTCCGCGGGAAATTAAATATAGAACAAAATATTAAAGTATCTTCAAGTGAGATTAGATAAGCTGCTTTCTGGCCTCATTTTTATGGCAATTTGTGTTCATCAAATTTGTCTATGCATTTTACCGAATTCGACGTTTTCAACACTATAAACATTAATCTAGTACATTATTACGTCCAGATATCTCTCACTGGGGAAACAAGTCACGAATTCGGGACAAATTAACAACCCTACCTATGTTGCGCAACTAGTTACTTTTTATTTTTCATGTTATGAAGTAACTTATGAGTTAATCACGTTCAGTTATATTTTCCTAAAACCACAGATTTAAAACATAATCCATTGTGTTTAAAAAGGTTTTGTATAAAAAAATATAACAATAATCGGAAGTATAATCAAATATTATTCATAAATATAATGAACAATAATTTGTAATAATGGTTATAATATTTCATTTTCACAGATTATATTATGTATTATATTAACAAAAAAAAAAAAAAATGATATGGGTCACCGTGTCATTGAGAAAAGAAAAATATAACTATTCTCTCAGTGTATCATACACGTTTGAGTACTCATTTATCTACATCACTAACAGCTATTACGTACCTACCTATCATTATATTTATATCCATTCATACAATTACAACAGAGTTGAATAATATTTGATATTATAATATGTATAGGTAATTAATTATACACCAATAATTAATTATAATTTAGTAAACGTAATTGTGGACCATTAGGTAAACAAATACATAAAAATAGTTATCTTGTTGTATTTAGTCATTGATTAAAGTATCTACTAAAGCGTTAAAAGCTTTAAAATATATAATTACTTACAATCATAAATTTTAATACATACATTTATTTAAAACTGTTAGACCTCTATTAAATTACTACCAATGTTCTTTGTTATCTTTAAAAAAAAGTATAATTTTTAATTTCACATGAAAAAAAGTAACTTATTTTTCTCCAAGTTTAGTTCCTTTTATTATTTTAACTTTTCAAGTTTAAAAAAAGGAAATTTAACTTTGAACTTTTAACATACCTAACTAACATTTTTCTACATTAACAAGTTAAAACAAATATTTGAATCACCCAGCTTTCCAAATTTGAACGACTATAGTTTTCGACTTGTTAAGCTTTATGATATACCTACTAATGGGATAATATTGTTTTAGGCACTTGAAGTATATCATAATAGCCTGAACGATCTACTATCATGGTTATACATACAATTAAAATTTAAGTGAATTTTATATTTGTTTGAACTTGTTCTCATTGTATTTTATTATTCAAACAATTATTAAAAATTGTTTTAAGATGCGAAGAGATTACCTAATATACTTTATATAAGGAGGTACTATAATAATTACTTAAATCGATTATATAGTGCAAACAATACAGAATATTACTCCAGTTTCATCAAATCTTTCATATAACTTTATTCGTCAAATATAAACAAATAAATATTATATAATTTATTTTATTTTATGTTATGTCTATTAAAAAAAGCATTATATTTATTATTCTTAATAATTATGCTTAATAACACGTAAGCTACTCGTTAAAATTTTGATTTAGAAACGTCAAATGTTTATCGCTTGCCAAAATATTTTAAAGTAAAAAGGACGTGTACTCATTTGAAAAACAGAACTTTGTATCACTACGAAACGCACTTTGAACGGTACAAATATTTCATATAATCGAAAATATAGTCTTTAAGTAGAGGTTTTAAAATTTCCAAAAATCAGATTTTGAATAATTGCATATTATCAAAGAAAAAGGATGGCGAACACGCTAGGAAAATTGCACTGTATAGTATTATAATTTTTTCTTCGACCACCCACTTTTTATGTTATACAACTATATAGGTAGCATGACTATTAATTGAATTGATAATCTCGGGTTCTTAAACAAGTTACACGAAATTATTTTTAATTGTTTAATTTTGAGCTAAGACAACCCAAAAACAAAACCGTTACTGTTTACAATTAATTCGTTGATAGAGTAAGTATAAGTACCAAATCAGTTTCAAAAATATTAACAAATAACAGAGGTATTACATGAAAGCTATCGACAACCGGATATAACATCGAGATTGCAAACTTTAATATAAAATCAGTTATTTTGGTACCTACACTAAATATACGGTATTTTATATACAAGATCTCGTTGACCTAAATACTTCCAATTTTCTCTGGCAAAGTTTAAATTAGACCTACTACAAAATTAATGTGATAAGAAATCTGAAAACACTTGAATTCTTTATGACGTTAACTCAAGATCGATTCTCCCACCATACATTCTTTTGTCATTGAATATGATGTTAAAATGCAATACACTTCGAAGAATTTTCAAAAGGCGATTAACTATTATGAACAGGTCAAAAAAAAAAATATATTAATATTGTCAATTGACTTCTGTGAGTTATGAGTTGCAGTGAGCCGACTATAATGTGTAGACGAAATTGCCGTATCGTTGGAAAACATAGCTTACATTGTGTTGTCATCGTTTGGTATATCAGCCTTATAGATTAAATAAATAAAAAAAATATATATAGAGTAAATAAATGCAGGATAGGTCTTAAAAAACTACCTTGCGATACTCCAGCTGACACGTTTTTACAACAGTATTCGGTTATGGATTTTTCCTGTTGACTCGAAATTGACTGTCGGTCAAGTATGATTCAAGAAGAGCACATCAGGTATGTGACAGTTGATCATTTGATGAGGAATCTTTTTTCTACGTCGAGGAATACGTCAAGAATTTTTCCAACACTATTTTATTCCGTCTTATCCGTTGGGTTTGGTGTACTATGCCATTTTATTCGCTATAGTTTTTTTTATTTCTAGAGGGTAGACCATTGATAGGCGATAGCTACCGGAATTGCTATTTCTGCCGCACTAACAATGTCGATGAAAATTCACCAAGAATATGGAAGTCTTACAATAGTTCGATCACTAAACTTGTTGAAAGGGTAGACTTTTTAAAAAATTTGAATGCTCGTATGTACCTACCAGATGCCCTAGCTAGTTAGGTAAAGCGAAACATACGTGTTGCTTGTGCAGAACTCAACCGATAACGAATAATTGAAAATCTATATTTATGACTACTCAAAATTCCCAAAAAGAATGTTTTTAAAATATCACAAAACAAATTAGTTTAGGTACTCCAAAAAAAATATTGACATTTAAAAAAATTGCAAACAAATAAACTACCCGACTTATATAGGTATAAGTTTTTGTCAACAATATTATTCCAAAAATTAGATTTAAAAATTAGCTATGTAAATTGAATTTTTCGAAAAAAAATTTAATATATTTTTAATTCTTTTATTTTCAGTATAAAAAAAATGAAAAATGTTATACTGTACTCTTAGCACTCTTAAATAATATATATGTAATATATGTATATATATTATACTACTTAATATATGTATAGACGTCTATAGAATTGTATATAATATAATTTATGATAAATTAAAACTTTTTAACTCTTTAATGCTCAGAATTTTATGATTGTACAATGTTGCCCAATTTACAATGTACACTTTCGCTCGACCGTACGAGTGTTTAGTACGTGTTTTGCATTTTAAACAGTAGACAGTACATAGTTCCTGTTTACCAATGGATACACTGGAGACTCAGCCGATTGCCCTCGTTTCGCTATAGTTTTTAAGAAAAACTAATAAGGAAATTGTAAGTGTTGTATAAACGCGCCGGACAAATGAAAACAAACAAATATAGGTACATCACGGTTTAAGATGTAAATACATTTATGAAAACGTTCATTTAAAACTTTAAAAATTGAATCGGAATTTCAGAAATATTATTTACTGTACTACATATTATTTGACATTATCATTGTTAACAATAAATTGTGAAGAAATCTAAAAATGCGGTGATCGGAACTAAATGTCAAGTGCTTTTTAGCAACAAAACACGCATAATAAATGTATTAACTACACAGTACCTATACACTATTATACGGTGTACATTTTTGGTTCCTTAATACACAAATAATTCGATTACGTGTACCTGTATGATACAACTATTTACCTATACCTACCTATATTATGATAAATTGATACGAAGCAGTGTCACACACTCGACGTCGGAGTTGAAGTGTTTTTGCCTTGAAATATTTACAACGGCACTATTACATGTGTAGTATCGCATATCTTTATTCGATGTACCCGATGAACGGGATTAAAATACTAATAATATGATGCACCTATATACATTGCAGTACGCCTACTAAATCATATTTTACACGATGTAAAACATTAATCGCCCAACGTTCGTTCTACGTGTACAGACGGCGACTGTAATATTATACGACGGACGACGGGTGACCATACATACCTATTACAATAACAGGTACCCACAATAATTATTGTTGCTGGCACCGAAAAATAATTTCGAACGACATTTTCTCCGGCTTGCTAGAAAACACAAACGACTGCCGGAACCATGGGTGCTAGGGCGTTGATTCCGTTGTCTGTGATTTTACTCCTCGGCGTCTATGTGACGGAACAAGCGTATTTTCTGGAAGAAGATTTCATCGAAGGGATCAACGAAAAAGCAAAGACGTGGACGGTGAGATAATTACACACAGTATAAAACATTATTATAACAGCGAGGCACATTTCAATACCTAATTAATAAACTGTACAAGATGGCAAATAGATGGCCTAGTAGCTCTCGACCTTTTATGAGTGCGACCCTAACATTTTAAATTCAACGTTCGTTGACTACACTAAAATAAAGTATAAAATTTAAAAAAAAAATAGAAATTATATATACTAACGAGTTGACCCATTATTTACAATATTCAGGACGATTTTTTCACACCATACTGAAATAATATGCGAATTACGCATTCGTGACCTCAATTTGGGTCGTGACCTGAGATTGAAAACTTCTGAGACAAGAGATAAAACCATCATGAAATGTTTTTTTTTTTTTACTAAGACTTTTATTTCAATACCCCCCCCCCCCAAAAAAAAGCTTTCAAAAAGTAAACGAAAAATTATAATTTTCGAGGACCCAAAAAAAACGCTTTTTGCGTTTAAATCTGAGGCCTACAAATTACAATATAACTATAAAAAGAAGTATTCTATTATGTTATAACCCTCAAGAAAAAAACAGTTAAAATTAAATTATATGCTTCCATCTAATTTTATTTATTACACCGTATAAAGAGTTATTTTTTATTGTAGATGGATTTAAATCGAACAAAAATATAACCATTTTTAAGAATAATCTACTTAGGTAGATACGTAATTAATTTCACCTGAGTAAGAACATGTAATACTAATAAGAGGCACGCAGACGAATACTAAACGTCCTTTTCAATTTGCAAAGAGAAGCAATCAAATTATCTATTTAAAAAGTTGAATTTTCTTTTTATCATCCAATCTAACTAATTAGATAATAATATAATCTCCCAGTTAACATAATCACTGTAACTAGTTAAAATGCCAACTATGATAACTTAGTTTTTTCAGTTTATTTAAAAATAATACGATCAATTAAAATCATTTGTCTACAATTTTAATCGTATTATAAAAAAAGTATTTATATCTATGTAAAAAGTAACTGTGATTAAAATTAAAAACTACTTTAATATGATTTTAAAATAAAAAAATAAAACAAAATATACAAACATAATATATTAACTACATGTGTTTACGTATACACAACATCATATTGTGCTACCGTACAACGATAATGCTGACAAAATTATACTATTCGAAGTTGGGGTAAGACCACCTCTTCTTTATTTGAAATTTTTTTAGTTCAACAATTTTTTAAGGCGATAAAAAAAATTAATAAGACCCTTACGACTTTAACCGAATATTTATATCAGAATTTTCTATAAACCAAGCAGTTTTCTAAATATTTTGACAATTGTTGAGCTTTTTATAGGAACCCGGCAATTTTAATTGTATTAGTTTTTTTTTAAATTACTGTCGATAACAATTTTTTTGATCGGTCAAAATACTTTGAATTTATTACAAGGTTCCTCCGGTGTTGCTTTCAATGGAAATCAAAGAGAAAGTTAAATACAATGAAAACTTTTTATGAGCATCTATAGTTAGAATTCCGACTAAATTCATCAAAATCACAAACATTTTGCAAACTATTTTTAATAAACAATTTTTTATAACAATTAACAAAAAAAAAGGTTTACAGTAAAGTCAAATAAATTCCTTCTGATTGTTTGAATATAGGCTACAGGCATTGGCCATTCACCCATAAATTAACAAATCGTCATGGAACAATCTCCTTATTTGGTTCTCATTCAAAAAACCATTAACAGTAGATAATTGAAATTTTCAACAAATGCTTATTTTATAATTGTTCATACGTCATTCTGCAATGTTAAAAATATTTTGTATTTAGATTTCTTTTTTTTTATAAATGTCCATGAATTTTGTGTCAAAAATGATAGAAAATTTAATACATTTAAATTTATGTTGTTCCTCGTAAGTTGAGATAATGGCAGTTGAGATGTATTAAATATCAATAGGTACGATTTTTTAACAGTGGGAATGAATTTGTAATATAAATAGTACAGTTAATCGAAATATTTTTCCAATTCTCGTTGTAGGCCTAGAAAATAATACTTAATATAATTATTGTTATTATTATTTTTTAGGTATCTAATATTAATGTAATCGGGAAAAGTGTTAAGACACTTATCACACAATTATTCGTGTTACAACAAAATAACTAAAATTTCTGTAGGATAAGTCATTATTTTCTGTTCAAATACTTAACAAATTGTCACAATTTTAACTTAAAACTTTTATAAATTTAATTATGCATAATACAATTTTAATACAGGTAATCAAAAAAAAAAAAAACAAAAAGTCAAATATTTAAAAAAATAGCTCATAATGAAACAATGTTTTCATCGGATTCAAAAGGTGACGACAAACTCGAAAAAAGCACACTGATTATTGTAAAACTTAATCTTTCTTCGCTGCTCTCAGAATCTAAAATTATTTTTTTTTATCCAAGTTAAGTTAATATTTTGTCCCATAATATAAACTTTAAGCTGCTAGAGCTAGATATATAAAACTATGAACTTTTAATTTAGCTGTCATAATGTTGACATAATTCATATATCACAAATTCAATTATTTTAATTCTGTACCTAGATAAATTATAATTTATATACTAGTTTATTATTGAATTATTAAATAAGTATAGGTACTGTGTCATTATTATAGATTGAAAATATTTTATCAATCATTTATAATTCAAAATTCAAAATTTTTATAGATTACAATTACTAGTGCGTTGTGAATGTTGTGATTACTAAATTAACATCACAATGAAATACGTACTCATACTAAAATCTTAAAATCAAATGCAAATCAGAATTTTTTTTTAAAACTTGATATTTTTACTACTAAACAAATAAAATTACACGGATATATGTCACAATTTATTAACCAATGAGATTGTCTATACACTCTTAACATTACATGAAATATATTATAAACTATATTTTTGTAATAGTTAATAAACCAAAGTTTGTACAGTATAAAATAGCGTCTATATTATTTTAAGTAAAGATAAAAATATTAACCTTAAGATAAAATAATACAATTAGGCTGGTATTAACTTCGATCCGAAAACACCGATGGAATACATAGTAAAACTATTGGGATCGAAAGGAGTGCAAGCCCCACACAAACTCGACCTTAAAATGTACAAATCAGATGACGAAGCTTACGCGAACCTGTTTGGCAGAATTCCAAGGAGGTTTGATGCGAGGAGAGAGTGGAGACGTTGTTTCACCATCGGACAAGTCCGAGACCAAGGCAATTGTGGGTCGTGTTGGGTACGTATGAACGATGATAAGATTGAGTCAGAACCGTAACAATAAAATATATGTTTTACTTACACTTTCATTAGGCTTTTGCTACGAGTTCAGCGTTTGCCGACCGGCTGTGTATAGCTACGAACCAGGCATTCAATGAACTGTTATCCGCAGAAGAGTTGACTTTCTGCTGCCATTTGTGTGGTTTCGGATGTCACGGAGGTTACCCGATTAGAGCTTGGAACTACTTCAGACGACATGGTCTCGTGACAGGAGGAGATTATATGTCGGAAGAGGTAAGTAGAAATGAAACGAGTTGGAAGAAAAGCATACTAACGCGCTAAGTGCACTGCTTACGTGCATCATTAATTTAATTATTCGCGTGGACTGTTAGGGTTGTGCACCTTACCGAATCGCGCCTTGCAATGACGAATATGGGAACAACACTTGCAGGGGTAAACCAATGGAAAAAAATCACAGATGCACGAGAATGTGTTACGGAGATCAAGAAATCGATTATGACGACGACCACAGATTCAGTATGATTTGTTTTCGTATTTATTGGGCAAACTTACTTATCTATGCGTTTTAAATTCGATTAAATTATGATTACAGCTAGAGACTATTACTACCTAACGTATGGAATTATCCAAAAAGAAGTTATGACTTACGGACCGATCGAAGCGTCAATGGATGTGTATGACGATTTTCCCAGTTACAAGTCGGGTAAAAGTGGATTGATATGAATAACTAATCATTCTACAACTTATGGTTTCCCAGTTTTTTTTTTTTTAAGGAGATTCGAACCACTATTTTTACGAAAACAAACCTATATTTGTCTACATTATAAGCATACAACTAATAGTGTTAGTTTTAAAACACACTTGAATCCGACATGAAGCTTACTAATTTATATCGTCTAACTTTATACCAAAATGATGATCTAATGTTTTCTTTAAATTTGTTTTTAAGACTTAAAAAAATTAAGAATATTCGTATCTTCAGTGTGATTATATTAATTTCATATCGAATATTTTAGTACTATATATGTTTTTAGATTTCTTGTCACAGTAAACTAGGTTTGCCCATCAAGTACAAACTTGTAACTAGCGCCCAGTATATTCATACGAATCTTAGATTTAGGTTGGCTTTTTTGAACTCATTAAAATATGTGGTCTCTATCGAATCCTTTTGAGGAGAAAATAGGGAACACGTGCTTGAAGAATTGTCATTTTTATACAGTTAACCATAACTTTGTGGATTTCAGGTGTTTATGAGAAATCCGATAATGCTACATACTTGGGAGGACATGCTGTGAAGTTAATCGGTTGGGGTGAAGAATACGGAGTGCCATACTGGTTGATAGTTAACTCTTGGGGCGAAAATTGGGGAGACAACGGTCTTTTCAAAATTCGACGCGGGACGAATGAATGTAATATTGATAACTCGACGACTGCTGGTATTCCAGTGGTTTACTAAGTAAAACGAAAACAATTAATTAATGTAGTTTATAGTTAATGGTTTAATACAACCGCATTAAATTTTTTAGTTTTATTGAAAATATTTTATTATTTTTTTTGATTGCTCACTGTCAATTTTAATCATGACGTAGATTTTATTTATTTTTACCGATTACATTTCAATATTTTTGTAAGAAGAAAAATATTTTTTTTTTTGTTAACTATCAAAAATACTCTTTTACACACTAGATAGATATTTTATCAAATAAATCCTAAATAATTTTATACGATCAATAATCAAACTGTTGAAGTTGAGTTCCTGCCCTTAAAATAGACATAGTTCGTGAGTTCGTGAAGATGGCACACCCGGTCTCACTATCGGTTATTGTTATTATATATTTCATATCAAAATATCCAATTCAAATGCTTGATGACACATACGTAAGTAGCCTAAAAACACTTACCTACATAAGTAGCGTGAACAGCTATAATAATATTTTATTATCACTGTAAACGACTATTTTAGTCATATTATGATGTTATGACTGTACAAATATGCTTGAAAAATTGAATAATAAATTTATAATTGTTTATTTTATTTTATTAGATCAATTAACGTATTCATTAACTTCATATATTACATAAAGCAGTTTTGATATATTTTTTGTTACTTATTTTATCGTTCACGTTTTATTTTTCACGACTAGGGGACAAGAGTGTAGGGATACTTTTACACCATATTATGGTTTCTTTTAAGTTGCAGTTAAAAAGACTCTCTATGACACTCTCGTGATGTTGAGTATGGAGGTTTGTTTTAAATGTCGGCATTATTTGAATCTAGAACTTGTAACTAGTAAATCTTAGTTACACCAATATGGTCTTCATACAAATTGCAAACATTGTCTGTTTCACTATTTTGGTCTTGTAGGTACTTATATGTCTTACTTACTATCATCAAAACAATTTATACCTAGTTATTAGTTTGTAATGGGCCCCACTGAAGATGTTCGTTTGTGGCTATAAGTTCACAATTTGAAATAAATATTTACATATTTAATGGTATTAACTATTATAATTATAATTATTATTATTAACTGTTATAATTACAATTTACAATATACACATTTTTCACATGACTAAAATATCAATATAAATAAATACTTATTTTTTCATTGTTTATATAGGTACATTATGTAGTATTATGTAAAACTCCAGTAGTTAAATAATAGGGCGTCGCTCATTACTGCACAAATGTGTTAATATTATTATCACCCTTGACAGGGTTGGAACAACAACTGTCGTGAAAAAAGATTTATCCACTTATTTTTAAAAGTGTTCGACTAATACCACAATCTCAGAGTTAAGTAGAAAGTGTAAGAGACATGTCTCCATGTCTATCGGCTCCGGTCAGCATACTTACCACTTTACATTATTGTTTATTGTAACACGTTAACACATTCAGATGAAAGTCAAAACTTAAGAATTAATTTTGAAATAGCATCACATTATATCACATACTAAAAGGTAGTTAATAACCATAAGTGATTCAAATGTTTTACGATTTAAATTTCCAACAGTAATTTTAATTTTTAATTCTACACGTTGAATAATATAACTATATCCATAGGTATTATTTTATTTTATATTTACACTGTATAGGGTTATCAGATCATTATTACTCAAAATCGGGACATTTTTAAAAATAATAAATAACAAATAAATTACTACTATCTAGAAATCTTGGATAGATTCTAATCTTCTGTATTATCTTTCCATCGCTTAACAGGTACATTTGCAAGTGTCCTTAAATCAAGCGAATACAGGGAACTATGGCACAAGGCATTTGAAAAATATCAAAATAAATTGTTATACGACCTATATAGATAATATGACACAACGAAAAATTAAAAAAAAAACAAAAGTAAGATTAGATAAGCCAGGCTTTCAACAAACCACCAAGTATTTTTATGACAAATTAAATTTATCAACATTTTTATATGAAAATGAAATTGAAATAATATGAAGAAAATATTGAATATGATATTGGCGTTTTCAAAATTATAAACTTCAATCTGGCAATTTTCGAGACATCTCTTTAGGACACAAGTCAAAACCGTTAGTGTTCTGGAAAGTCCAGAACATATGAAAAAAACTATAATTTAAACAGTCTTGGAGGCTAATAAGTGCTAGAGCTCAAATATTGCTGCAATCGCATTGTTTTTTTTTTTTTTTGGGTTGGGGGGGGGGTATTCGATTTATTGGTGAGTTAGCCTGAAATTATTTTCATGACATTACAAAAAAAATATTAAAAGTTCATGATGCATATATTTTTGCATATTTATCGAATTTGTAGTTTTTAGTTATAAAAAAATAAATAAATTAAAATGTACTCACGAACCTGTATTTATTTTGAGAGTTTTCACTAGGTATTAATGTATCAAGTTTTTAAAATACTTAGTTAACATACAATTCCCAGTTTTTATTAAAATATATTAAGTACAAATTGTAAAATATAAAAATATTTTGTAATAAAAAAATTGTATTCATGAAAATTGTGAGTAAAAAAAAATAAGGGCAGGTTTAAACTATTTAAGCGCATAAGTGCATGCTTGTTTATATTCTTAAGTGCATTAAGTGAGTAATAACTGATGTATTATAATTAAATATTATGTACGCGGTATTAAATGGTGAAAATGAGATGGTTAAAATTCATAATTATATACAATTCTAGTTTATTTTAATGTTTTCAGAATATGTAAAATAATCATTGAAATTGCTATATGATTCGTATTTCTTAACATAGTTCCGAATGATGAATGCTGTTCTGAATTAATTTTAATGCAACTAGAGAAATAGGTAAGACATATTTACAGTTTTGTAATTTAATTTTGTTTTTTTTTTTGAATTCAAATTCATGTTCCATTCGCACATTTATAGTGCACTGGAAATTCGGTGAGTTTGTATTAACGATTTATCTTTGTGTTCGGATTTTTAACAATATGAATTATATCTTGATCTTAGGTGAGTGGAGGTAGACGAAAGTGTCAAGTAAGTAATACACGCCCGCATGGTACAGCGAAGTCGGATCATTTGGAACTGTGACACAATATAAACAATTCGTAGTCGTCTAGCTCTTTAAAGCCTCGAACGTTTGCACAGCTGCGGCAAGACTCAGTTATTTGCTCGAATAACATTAATCGCGGCTCGTGCAATGGTTCTCGACATAAATACTTACATGAGTGACGATTACGAGTACAGTAATTTATTACAAAATAATAAATTGCAAAAACTTAGGTGTTATTGCTTATTTAAAAAACAATTCTTTTGGTTTTAAAAATATAAATTTTGGTTAAACTTATCTCTCGTCAGGCTGGATTTAGAGTTGTCATTTGTTGTTTGGAATCCTATGCAAAATATTTTAGTCAATTTATTAAATTGAATGGATATATAGTCTATAGACTTGAAAAAATACGCATCCGTTTTTTGAGAACAATATGGCATTTTATCCAGACTTTAGAGTAAGGCTGAAGTGGGGTTGGAAATTATTAAGTGAAGGACTATTGGTTTCGAATCATCAAATTTTAGACGTTTATTAAATTATGTAGCTTATTTATTCATAAGTTCATTTACGAGCTATTAATTCACCACGTGTAATTTCAAAAAAAATTTAAATTTAATTATAAAAATATGAATTGAAAATATAAATACAATTTTAAAGTGATACTTATGGACGCGATAAATAATCCAAATTTTTTAGTTCGTATTTGCTCTAGTCACTTAATTGCTTATAGTAATTAGTGTTAACTTTTACACGATTGTAATAGAATATAAATTTTAACTTTTGTTTTGACCGTCACTTGCCAATGAAAAAAATATTGATTGAAGATTTCTTAAAATATTATTATTATTACCATATATTTTCTTTTATGTTAGTAAAAGGTTTAAGAAAAAAATAAACTGTCATCAATACATACACCACTGTGAACAGTGTAAATTAAAAATGATCAATTTGTTATACCTATACTTGAGACTATTCATTCAAATTAGTCTAATTCATAGTTCAGACTTGGATCACGCACACTAAACACACAGACATTGAATACATTATTATAAAGGTAATATTCAAAACAAAAAAGTTCAAATATCAACAAAAGCAATAACAACAAAACGGTTTAAATAATTAAAACAGATTTTATTTAGACATCAATGACATGAACTTATTTTTGATTTTAAATAAATTAAAATAATACTCTTAGTTGGTAACTGGTACACCAGCAGTTGTCGAATTATCGACTCCACATTCGTTTGTGCCTCGTTGAATTTTGAAAATACCATTGTCACCCCAATCTTCGTTCCATGAGTTGACCATCATCCAGTATGGCACTCCGTATTCTTCACCCCAACCGATCAATTTAACGGCATGTCCTCCCAAGTATGAAGCATTTTCCGATTTCACGTAAACGCCTTTAGAACGGGAAATGTCAGTTAGAAATAATGTGATGATATTTAAAAAATAGAAGCACGAAACACTTCATATTATAATATGAAACAATCGTTGGTGCTTATCGTTTACCTGACTTGTAACTGGGGAAATCGTCGTATACATCGAACGATGCTTCAATTGGTCCGTAAGTCATGACGTCCTTTTGGATGCTACCGTATGTTAGGTAGTAGTAATCACGTGCTACAATCATAAGTAAAGAGATTAAACACATTTAACCAAACGGAACACGTTGACAAAATAAACCATACTGTATCTGTGGTCTTCGTCGAAGTCGAGGTCCTGGTCACCGTAGCACATCCTGGTACACCTGTGGTTTGATTCCATTGGTTTACCGGCGCATGTATTATTTCCTTGGTCGTCATTAGGACAAGGTGGAACTCTGTATGGTTCACAACCCTAAGATCGACGTGTACAAGGTTAAAATCTTTTAAATTATATCATATATTTTGGTTAATGCTCTTTTCCAAATATGTCGCATACCTCTCCAGATTTGTAGTCTCCTCCGGTGACTAAACCTTTTTTACTAAAACGTTTCCATGCTTTAATCGGGTAACCACCGTTGCATCCGAAGCCACATGTATGACAGCAGAAAGTGATTTCTTCGGCGGATAATAATTCGTTGAAGTCTGCATTTGTTGCTACACACAAACGGTCAGCGAAAGCCGAGCTAGTGGCCACAGCCTACATAAATTATTTGTTTAAAATAAAATTAATGTTCAACTCAACTTTTGGCATTTATCAACTGATTTTTGTACATACCCAACAAGATCCACAGTTTCCTTGGTCACGGACTCTTCCGATCGTACTACAATGTCTCCATTTTCTCCTAGCGTCAAAGAACCTTGGAATGTATGTGTTGTCGTAATCTGCATCTTCGCTCTTGTACAAATTCATATTATTTTTGTTTGGAATTTGTACTCCCCTTGATCCCAAAAGTTTCATGATATGTTCCTTTGATGTTTTGGGGTCGAAGTTCACACCAGCCTTATTTGTTAAATATTATGATTAGTATATAAAACTATTAAAAACAGTGCAATACAATGTAAACATTATATTTTAATTAAATTTGGGCATGTAATATGTATATTAAGGTACCTACTTCGATCCCTTAATTTATTTTATTAAAAAATTTTTTTTTCATATAAAGGCAAAGTTACATTGTTGTTAAAATGATTTTTAAATATTAAGAATATTTTTATAATTGTCATCTGTGTATGTATAATATTACGAATCTCGTTCATTACTCTAATAATGGATTGTTATAAATAGTAATCTTTTTAAAGTTTAAAAAATGCATATAATTTGATATTAGTTTCTGAGCGGTGAGATGAATGTGCTGAATTTACTATGATTTCGATATTATTTCTATGCTTTTTTGTACAAGATACATAGTTAAACTAATATTCTATGATCATCAAAAATAAAGATAAACATTTATTAGATACTTAGTGTAATTCAGTAATCGTAGATACATTAAATTTATAACAAATGTTTATATTGGGACACAAGATTACATTATCAAAATTTGTTGACTTATTTTGGTTTATGTAATAATATTTTATACTTATCGCATATGTATTTAACATTATCATAAAAATGTGTAAATTATTTTTCAGGTAAAAATTCATAATATACTTAACCTTAAATATTTCTACCTAACATTTGGAAATTTAAAACAATGTTTTTTATAAATTATTATTTCTAGATGAAAAAAAAAAGTTTGGCGTTATTCAGAATTAAATTAATATGTTTTTGATCGTTTGAAGGTTAAACTTTGGCGAAATATTATATTCTGGTATGAAAACAGATATCTCATCAAACAATCATTTATTTTTGATGCAACTCAAAAACGATTACACTTGAAAATACTGTTTAATAAAGGGTTTGGTTAAAATTTTCCAAATATGACATATATTTTATTGTATATTATAATATATCAACATATTTTGACTATTTCTGAGCGATTTATAGATAATTTTAATTAATTGACATTATATTTTAAAATTACATTTTTCTGTACTAACATAAATAATGAATGACTTACCTTCCATGTAGTCGCTTGTTCATTGATATTATCAATGAAATCTTTTTCCAAGAAGTAAGCTTGTTCCGTCATATAAACGCTGACGAAGATCACAGACAATAACATCAACACCCTAGCCATGATTGCAACTTTGTCGCTTTAAATTTGTTACTTAATAAAATTGAATTAAAACCCACTGTTGCTGCTTCCACAACAGTAGTAGAATGAGTTTCGGTTTCCAATATTTACAGTTTATATAGGTACGTCTGAATACTCGAATCATATAATCGAAAATGTATTAGCCATCATTTCTCAGAATATTGTGTGAAAAGATCTCTAGTATTTTCGTATTGAATAATCATTAAAAAAATATTGTCAAATTATTTAATTAAAAAATCACTTTTCATGCACTTATAGCCTTATCTTGTTTGTTTGAAGTAATTGCTCGGAATTATGATAATATTTAATTAAAACATTTCGGATGGTAGCTGTTGTTTTATCATCATAAAATTAATATACTATTATTCCTAATTTTTTTATGAACATCAACTATCCACTATGGCCAGGGATGAAGCCTCGAGCCAGTGACTTCAAAATATCTCTGAAGTTTTGTAGAAAATCCATTTAAAGCGTGGAAATTGTCTAAGTTTTTTTCCGTTATGAGAAATTCATTTTTTTTTAAAATAAAACTGAACGTTAAGCACATTTTGAACGAATAAAAATTGTTGTAAAGTTAAGGTTCAGTTATGCATGTTATTTGGTAGAACAATAAATTCCATTTTAAATAAACAATGCAAATACCTCAATACGTAAGTTGAATAGTGTAGGTAATAGAAGAGTCAGAAATATAGAGTAGTTACAGATTTATTAAATGCACATAACAAAAATAAAAATAAAACAGGGGAAGTCACTCTGCTGCGCAGTAAATGTCTAGGTGGGTCGCTGTAACGGGGTGGGTTAATTTGAATTCAATGATATAAAATCATTGTTAATGAAAAACGATTAAAACCAAAGATTGTTTGTCAGCCTATAATATTACAAAGTATATTTGATGATGTAATTGCTAATAAAGTTATTTATTTCACTATTAGACATAAGTAAAAGAGTAAGCTTAATTGATTTTTGCCAAATAAATTGAATTTGTATACAGTAAACAATATACTTTAAAAGTTTCAAGTACCCAGGTATAATAATTTTAAGTTAAAACAAAATAACTGTATTCATTGTTCTTCGTTTAAATATCTAATGTCGTCCGATTTTGAACCTAAAGTAGGTAATTATAAAATAAAACTGTGTGGCAGTATGAAATATTTATGAGAAACTTTGTTTTACATTTTTAAGTCTTATAGATATAAATAGAAAAAATGTTATTGACATGTATAGAAAAAAATCTAAACATTTAAAATATCTATAAAAAGAACAAAACTAATCAATTTATTTTGAAAATTTTATCATGTACAGAAATTATAAAATAAACATTTGGTGAAAATTTCAAGTTTTTACAGCCGTTTGTTTTTTGATTAGTCGACATTTCATGGTGAGAAATATAGGTTAGTAGTTATGTCTAGACATTATTAATCTAAAAAATAACAACAAAATGTAATTTTTTCAAAGATGAAAACTATGGTACAATGTTTTGTAGAACCACCCAAAGTTGTATTATAACGCCGATTACTACATTACCACTGACCAATATTACGGTAAAAGTTTGTGTTTAGTTTATTATTTTAAGGCAGGAATGGCACCACCTCATCATATTGTTGAATAAAAGAACAGGATAGAAAATTATAAATATTCAAATACATGTAAATAGGTACATAATTTTTATTTTAATAATTATTATCTTAGAAAATTGTTTTAAAATATTTTTAATTTTTAATTTTATATCTTTACATTTTTGATGATTATTTAATTAAATTTCAATGACTAATAGTAAACTTCATAGTCGATGACTGCAATACACATCATAGATAAACTCGTTGAATTCGTTTGAAGATCGTATAAAATGTGAATAATAGATTACCTGTATAATATACATTTATATCATATATATTATAAGTATTCATTTATCTAATTATTAGGAAAAATAAATGCTTTTTACATTGATGATGCATTTTAGATTAAAATACGAAAAACCAATGAACGAATGATGTACTCCCTAGTTAAGTATCATATACATTTTAAAATATTATTCTGATAAATAAATAACAAGAATTATCGAATACGAAATTACAAGAAAATAATAATTAGTAAGCGTCTTCTGAGAAATACTTGAATCAAGTATTTCATTTGAGTATCGTAAAATGTGTATATATAAGCTGGTATATGAAAATCGAAATGTATTCTACTACTGTTGTACAAACAGCAACAGTGGGATTTAATTCAATTTTATTAAGTAACAAATTTAAAACGACAAAGTTGCAATCATGGCTAGGGTATTGATGTTATTGTCTGTGATCTTCGTCAGCGTTTATCTGACGGAACAAGCATACTTCTTGGAAAAAGATTTCATTGACAATATCAATGCACAAGCGACTACATGGAAGGTAAGTCATTCATTATTTATGTTGTAATCAAAAAATATCATGTCAAATAATGTTCATTGTCTATGTGGAATGAGACAATATTTCAAAACATTCTTTGCTCCGAAATCACTTCTACGTGATTGAAATTATTCAGTTAACATTTGTGATTGAAATTGTTTAGTCAACATTTGAACGTTAAATGCTTTTAAAGAAGAAATTGCACACACGTGTTTTTCACTTTTTATTTGTTTAAATGCTTTTAAAAGAACTTACAAACACATTGTACTTCATTTTCAAGTTGTTTGACTCATTAAACATTTATTATCGTGTATGGAAATATTCATATAAACATAAGATGAAAATTTAATGTATGTTATAGCCTATAGGGTCATTAGTTTTGTGTTACTCTTAAAATACAAATTAAATTTAGCCGAAAAGTGATTTTACGAAGAATCCCAGGTTTTTATTTCAATTTTCAATTCGCTTTTAACAAACTATTCAATTTGACAGTTTCAATTAGATGATGTTGAAAATAATTTTTGCCGCAGAAATACGTAATGAAAGATAAAAAAACTAAAAACATTTATGATTTATAACTTCACTCAGAATTTAAAAGGGGGGAAGGAACAGGTAAGCGTCCTTCAGTAAAGTTGGAATCGAGCGTACATAGTCATTGAGTAGATAAATGTAATGGATATGTTGAATTTGAATTCAATGACAAAGCATCAAATACGAAAAAACGATTCTGACCGGAGATGGTCTTATAATCCAATTTTATATTTCAGTATTAGTAATATGGTATGAACTATAAACATGCAATTCCATATAATATTATTAAATGTTTTGAAAATTACAATGTGTATATAAAAAATAAAAGTCTACACAAAAATATTTTCCACTTACAAAAAAATTACTAAAAAGGCTGTTCTTTGTTTAAAACATATCCAATTTATTTAAAATGAATATTGCAATTATTTACCGATATATATTTTTGGATTTAGAACTACTTAAGGGTTCACCTACTAATGCATAAGCTCTGGGCTGTTAATAAGATTAAACATTTCATATTTTTTTCTACTGCAAAATTATGTGCACATTTTCTAGATTATTTCAAAAGTTTTGAATTGAAACGCAGTTGAAAATAAAGCAGTGAAGTTATTTCAATATTTTTTTTTTTTAATCAAGTAATTTACTTACAATTTACAGTCTATAGACTGCATTGTACTTAATTTACAATTTACATTTTAAAATAAATTGTCCACTTATCAGAACATTAAAATGTCTAGCTTTATTTTTGATGATCGTAGAATATTAATTTAACTATGTATCTTGTACAAAAACGTAAAGAAATAATAACGAAATCATAGTTAATTCAGCACCTTCATCTCACCGCTCAGAAACTAATATTAAATTATATGCATTTTATAAACTTTAAAGAGATTACCTACTGTTTATAACAATTTATCAGTAGAGTAATAATAAGTTTAACGAGATTCGTAATATTATACATACACAGATGACAATTATAAAAAAATTCTTAATATTTAAAAATCATTTTAACAACAATGTAACTTTGCCTTTATATGAAAAAAAATTTTTTTAATAAAAGAAATTAAGGGATCGAAGTAGGTACGTTAATATACATATTACATGCCCAAATTTAATTAAAATATTATGTTTACATTGTATTGCACTGTTTTTAATAGTTTTATATACTAATCATAATATTTAACAAATAAGGCTGGTGTGAACTTCGACCCCAAAACATCAAAGGAACATATCATGAAACTTTTGGGATCAAGGGGAGTACAAATTCCAAACAAAAATAATATGAATTTGTACAAGAGCGAAGATGCAGATTACGACAACACATACATTCCAAGGTTCTTTGACGCTAGGAGAAAATGGAGACATTGTAGTACGATCGGAAGAGTCCGTGACCAAGGAAACTGTGGATCTTGTTGGGTATGTACAAAAATCAGTTGATAAATGCCAAAAGTTGAGTTGAACATTAATTTTATTTTAAACAAATAATTTATGTAGGCTGTGGCCACTAGCTCGGCTTTCGCTGACCGTTTGTGTGTAGCAACAAATGCAGACTTCAACGAATTATTATCCGCCGAAGAAATCACTTTCTGCTGTCATACATGTGGCTTCGGATGCAACGGTGGTTACCCGATTAAAGCATGGAAACGTTTTAGTAAAAAAGGTTTAGTCACCGGAGGAGACTACAAATCTGGAGAGGTATGCGACATATTTGGAAAAGAGCATTAACCAAAATATATGATATAATTTAAAAGATTTTAACCTTGTACACGTCGATCTTAGGGTTGTGAACCATACAGAGTTCCACCTTGTCCTAATGACGACCAAGGAAATAATACATGCGCCGGTAAACCAATGGAATCAAACCACAGGTGTACCAGGATGTGCTACGGTGACCAGGACCTCGACTTCGACGAAGACCACAGATACAGTATGGTTTATTTTGTCAACGTGTTCCGTTTGGTTAAATGTGTTTAATCTCTTTACTTATGATTGTAGCACGTGATTACTACTACCTAACATACGGTAGCATCCAAAAGGACGTCATGACTTACGGACCAATTGAAGCATCGTTCGATGTATACGACGATTTCCCCAGTTACAAGTCAGGTAAACGATAAGCACCAACGATTGTTTCATATTATAATATGAAGTGTTTCGTGCTTCTATTTTTTAAATA